CAGCTTCTTCATGCCTCTAGCCCATGTCATGGTCTCAACATCAAACCTCAAACTCACCACTGTGCGTCGAGTTAGGAACAGAGTGAAAACCGTATGGGATCTGCTACTTTCATCGTTCCACGACGTACTGGCCACTGTTCGTTGTCTGTTACCCACACGTAACCAGCCCAAGACGTCTGTTTTCGAACGTACGCCCATATGACATAAACCTTCGACGTAGGGGCCGGTGGTTGGGTGCTCCCGAATCGATAACTAAGGGATAAAAACAAGAGAAATAAAACAATGAAGTGAATTGTCACATCCGTACTACTAATCCAAATATCTGGAGAATTACATCGTCTCTTCTACGATTACATAATGACGGTATCATGAATTCATGCCGAAACACACTGAATACAGTCAAAATAACCATACCCTGATGCGAAAACACACGTTGGGAGGTGAACTCTTTTGTTTGGTGACGCATTTGCCAGTCCGTAAAGGAAGTGGCATGCTTAAGGAGTAAACTTCTACTTGGACAAGGTTCCGTGCTTCGTCGGGGAGAGAATACAAACAGTACCTTGTGTTCCGCACCACAGGGTCACAGCATCTGCGCGACAGGTCTGTCGTCATGAAAGATGGATGACGTATGCTTACGTCTTGTNACCTACTGCTTGAGAACACAGAAATGTCGGCTGTCTCCGCAGCGAGTAGGGAGTAGAGCTGAAATGACTTGGACTAGCAAAATGTTACTCATTTGGACCAATTGGAAGAATGATTCAGGCGTCACTTTGCGGTTTATGTTCTAGGTTAACGATAATCGAGATTCCTGACATATTTTCGGTCATGTTGAAGCCAGTGTGGGAAGTGTTCCGCAATCCATTGGAACAGGTGCCTTGCAGTTCGACTGTTGGACAGTGTTACAAATTCAACTAGGAGAAAAAATAATCATGGATAAAGCTAGTATAAGCAGACTCTGATTACTGGATGTCCTCATCAATCATTATGTATAATAAAATGCCAGTAATAAAGGTTTTCTTTAAATGAGTCCGGATAGGCCGTGTTTTGTGAGCACTTGTTTCTTGAATAATCTCCCAATAGGAACTTGATCATATATTAATAGTTCCTCCGGGTTTCCTTTGATGAACCTGTCAAGATATTCATTATACCCCAGGAAGTTCGGGATATGAACAATTTCATCTGCGAACCTGGATTTGGTATATCAAAGACGAGACAAGTTACTCAATAAGAGACTAAGCGGCACAGAACTGTGGAAGTCGGTGTACTGCCCGGTCCGCTTTTTTTAGGCAGCCAGTTCGTGGTCCGGTAAACTGTCAAGTCAATGAACGCTAATTTAGTATCTTTCAGTTTCTAGAGCAAGGACTTATGAACCTTGATGAACAAAGGCGATGAATGTTTTGGAAAACGGACTGTTCTCAGTGTCGTTGTTCATGGTCTTCGCTGCGGAAGTCGCAGTCAGTAGTTTTATCTATCAGGAGCATTTCACAGGAGTGAGGTGTCAAAGGGCAAATCTTGTAAGCTAAAACCGGATTAGATAACCACAAAAAGCTAGCGCGTGCAAGAAAATTGGATAACCCAGATTCGAATAATCCTAAAGACAGACGGCACTGATTTGATTGGTCAGTGCAGCACGATGCGTGCCTTGGACGTGCGAGTCACGTCCAAAGGGTAACGATCCGACCGAGGGAAAACCGGCTCCCGATGGATTGCGGACTTGCAGCTCGCTTGGCAATAATAAGTAATATTTTATTGACAAAACATTGAAAATCGGTTCTCGTAGCTCCGGTGAACTGAATTACATTTCGCCTGTTCGCCGAGCTTGGCAATTTGTTTGCAAACGTTTCATCACCAGCCGAGGTGACATCATCAGTGCTTGTGAAGTGGCAGTGTTCTGCTTGTACCCGTTCGTTCATATATGCGTTCCTCTTCATCGACTATTTTCG